CCCTCCCACTTGCTGGCCAACTGATTTTCTCCTGAAGTTTTTATTCAATAGGGTTTTCAGTACATTTATCTAAAGCCATCCCTTTAAATTTGTTGTACCTTTACTGTTTTTTTCGATTGCTAACAAGCATTGTTCAATACACTAAATACAGTTATCAAAACAACATGCAACTTGGCAATGCACATCCTACATGTCTCAAAAGCAAATCCTTCTACCGAATGAAAGCTAACAGTCTCTCACGACATGCGGACTTTGTCATTCATAGTATCATGCCCTACAAAACTCCAAAAACAGCTACCACTTGGAAATGTGTCAATTTGTCTTTAATATCTTTTTTTCTTTTTTTTTATGAACCAACAGTCATTTTTACAAAAGAAGAGTGGCAAACCTGTACTGTACAGAATGTCCTGCAAGATATGTAAAGAAATAAAGAAGAAAGGCTGTAATTCCAAAATACACAAAAATAAATTATTCCAGTACTGTTAAACAAACAAAAAGTGTATACCCACATTATGAATATTCATAGCATATTGTCCAAATGAAACAGATACATAACAATGCTAGTCAACCCTGTCTGCTGCATTGGGCCACAAGTTCTCGTCCACATCACACCGTATGGGGTCTCGCGCAACACACCTGGGAAAGAATCTCTTTGGGGGGGGGGGGGGTGACATCTTCCCAGGATGGGCTGCAAACCACTCTGTGACTGCATGGGAGTGGTGAAATGCCACATTGTCCCATAAAATCACCCAGGTTTCCATATTTCTTCTGACTTGCCCTCTTTCTTCACCTGACAAAAGCCTTCCATAGAGGTCATCCATGAATGAAATGAGGCGCTCTGTGTTGTATGGCCCAATTAGCGGTTTATGCAACAGCAGATCCTTCAGAGGTTATTACAGGCACACATTGTGATGTTGGCACCCCTCCGGCCCGGGACATTCACTGTTGCTCTTTTCCCAGTCACATTCCTTCCACGTCGGCGTGTTTTGGCCATGTTAAAACCAGCCTCGTCCACAAAGACGAACATGTGGGGTGTTGGCCTGGCTTCAAGCTCCATGACACTCTAAAATATTGTAAATCCACAGGGCAACATAACAGTTGTTCTATAACAGTAGTTTACATTACAGTATACTGTAACTGAAATCACTGCTGAGTGTGCAGTGCTCTGGTGGGTTTTGTTTACAGTAAAAACAGCACTGTATTACAGGATATAGACATCTTACCTGGACATATTGGTGCCGGAGTTCCTCGACACGATCAGAGTTCCTCTCAAAGGGGAACAGTGTACACCTGCTTCATGCTGATATGATGCTTTGTCAAGACTCTAGCAATGGTTGTCGTGCTTACACTTTCCAACATTTTAAAATGTATTATTGTCTGCCAACACTCTCTCTTGAATTTCTCTTGAGTTTTATGGCATTGTTGCTAATGATCATGTCAATAATTACAGCTTCCAAAAAGGCCTGTGGTGTTGATGGTATCCTCAATGAAATGATAAAATACACAGACCACAAATTCCAATTGGCTATACTTAAACTCTTTAACATCATCCTTAGCTCTGGCATCTTCCCCAATATTTGGAACCAAGGACTGATCACCCCAATCCACAAAAGTGGAGTCAAAGTTGACCCCAATAACTACCGGGGGATTATGCGTCAACAGCAACCTTGGGAAAATCCTCTGCATTATCATTAACAGCAGACTAGTTCATTTCCTCAGTGAAAACAATGTACTGAGCAAATGTCAAATTGGCTTTTTACCCAATTACCGTACGACAGACCACGTATTCACCCTGCACACCCTAATTGAGAAACAAACTAACCAAAGCAAAGGCAAAGTCTTCTCATGCTTTGTTTATTTCAAAAAAGCTTTTGACTCAATTTGGCATGAGGGTCTGCTATACAACTTGATGGAAAGTGGGGTTGGGGGAAAAACATATGACATTATAAAATCCATGTACACAAACAACACGTGTGCGGTTAAAATTGGCAAAAAACACACACATTTCTTTCCACATTGCCGTGGGGTGAGACAGGGATGCAATTTTAAGCCCCACCCTCTTCAACATATATATCAACGAATTGGCGAGGGCACTAGAACAGTCTGCAGCACCCAGCCTCAACCTACTAGAATCTGAAGTCAAATGTCTACTGTTTGCTGATGATCTGGTGCTTCTGTTCCCAACCAAGGAAGGCCTACAGCAGCACCTAGATCCACCACAGATGCTGTCAGACCTGGGCCCTGACAGTAAATCTCAGTAAGACAAAAATAATGGTGTTCCAAAAAAGGTCCAGTTGCCAGGACCAAAAATACAAATTCCATCTAGACACCGTTGCACTAGAGCACACAAAAAACTATACATACCTCGGCCTAAACATCAGCGCCACAGGTAACTTCCACAAAGCTGTGAACGATCTGAGAGACAAGGCAAGAAGGGCCTTCTATGCCATCAAAAGGAACATAAAATTTGACATACCAATTAGGATCTGGCTAAAAATACTTGAATCAGTTATAGAACCCATTGCCCCTTATGGTTGTGAGGTCTGGGGTCCGCTCACCAACCAAGGATTCACAAAATGGGACAAACACCAAATTGAGACTCTGCATGCAGAATTCTGCAAAAATATCTTCAGTGTACAATGTAAAACACCAAATAATGCATGCAGAGCAGAATAAGGCCGATATCGCTAATTATCAAAATCCAGAAAAGAGTCGTTAAATTCTATAACCACTTAAAAGGAAGCGTTTCCCAAACCTTCCATAACAAAGCCATCACCTACAGAGAGATGAACTTGAAGAAGAGTCCCAAACGTAAGCTGGTCCTGGGGCTCTGTTCACAAACACAAACAGACCCCACAGAGCCCCAGGACAGCAACACAATTAGACCCAACCGAATCATGAGAAAACAAAAAGATAATTACTTGACACTTTGGAAAGAATTAACAAAAAAACAGAGCAAACTAGAATGCTATTTGGCCCTAAACAGAGAGTACACAGTGGCAGAATACCTGACCACTGTGACTGACCCAAATTTAAGGAAAGCTTTGACTATGTACAGACTCAGTGAGCATAGCCTTGCTATTGAGAAAGGCCGCTGTAGGCAGACCTGGCTCTCAAGAGAAGACAGGCTATGTGCACACTGCCCACAAAATGAGGTGGAAACTGAGCTGCACTTCCTAACCTCCTGCCAAATGTATGACCATATTAGAGACACATATTTCCCTCAGATTACAGCGATCCACAAAGAATTTGAAAACAAACCCAATTTTGATAAACTCTCTTGTCTACTGGGTGAAAAACCACAGTGTGCCATCACAGCAGCAAGATTTGTGACCTGTTGCCACAAGAAAAGGGCAACCAGTGAAAAACAAACACCATTGTAAATACAACCTATATTTATGTTTATTTATTTTCCCATTTGTACTTGAACTATTTGCACATTGTTACAACACTGTATATAGACATAATATGACATTTGAAATGTCTTTATTCTTTTGGAACTTCTGTGTGTAATGTTTACCGTTAATATTTATTGTTTATTTCACTTTTGTTTACTATCTACTTCACTTGCTTTGGCAATGTTAACATACGTTTCCCATGCCAAGAAAGCACTTACATTGAAATTGAATTGAGAGAGAGAGAGAGAGAGAGAGAGAGAGAGAGAAGGGGTTGAAAGAGAGAGAGAGAAAGAGAGAGAGAGAGAAGGGGTTGAAAGAAAGAGATGAGAGAGGAAAATAAGAAGAGAGAGAGCGATAGAGAAGATGAGATAGAGAGAGAAGTGGTTGGAGAGAAGAGCGAGATAGAGAGAGATATAGATCTCCGCTCTCTCTCCTTTTTTTCCCTCTCTCTCTCTCTCTCTCTCTCTCTCTTTGTTTCTGCTCTTTTCTCTCTCCTCTCTCTCTCTCCTCTCTCTCTCTCTTCCCTCTCATTTTCCTCCTCCCTCTCATTCTTTTTCTCCCCTTTTCTCCTTTCACTACATAACATGACAATAACAAACCCATCTGTTCCTTCTGAAAACACTCTCTCATATTATAATAATATAATCATACTGATTCTCCCATCCTGTATACTGGAATACAATACCCCAAACTCTTTTACTCCTCTCCTCTCTTTCCCTCCAACCATCCCTCTCCTCTCTCTCCTCCTCCCCCTATTTCCCTCACCCATCCCCTCTCCGCTCCCTCTCTTTCCCTTCCCTCCCACACTCTCTTTTCTCCTCTCTTTCCCCTCCAACCATCCCCCCTCATCTCTCCTCTTTTCCCTCTCAGACCATGCCCTCTCCTCTCCCTGCTCCTCCTCTTTCGCCTCACAAATGCCTCCCTCTCTCCTCCTCCTCTCTTTTTTCCCGTCCCACTATTCCCTCTCCTCCTCTCTTTCCGCTCCCCCCCTCACCCCTCTCTCTCTACTTCTCTTTCCTCTCTCCCCCCTCCCCCCTCTCTCAGTCTTCTCCTCCCGTCTCCCCCCCCCCTGCTCCTCTCGTTCCTATCGTTTTCTCTCTCCCTCCTCTCTCTCTTCTCCCCGTCTCTTGCTCTTCCATCGTGAGTCTCGCTCCTCTCCTCCGCACGATTGTGCGTCTCGTCACGCTCGTCGTCTCTCTCAGTGGCTCCTTCTCAGTCTCTCATCGTCTCATCTCCTCTCTCTCTCCTCCTCATCCCTCTGCTCTCTCTCTCTCTCTCTTTCCGTCGTTCTCTCTCTCTCTCTCTTGCCTTCTCTCGGCGTCTCGACCTCTCCAGGGTCTCCGTCTCAGTGCTCTCTCTCCCTCTCAATCGTCTACCCTTCTCTGTCTACTCTGCTCTTCGGTCTCCTCTCCGTCGTACGCGGGTTCTCTCTATCTCCGGAAGCAAGGAAAAGAAACTCCTCTCTCCATCTCCCTCTCTCGCTCTTCGGTCTCATTCTTGCTCTCTCTCCCTCTCCTCGTCCTCTCTCTCGCGACGCCGGCCTTCTCCGTCGGTCGCTGCAATGGCTCGTCTCTCGTGCTCTCCTCAGTCGGTTCGCTCGTCTCACAGGGACTTCTCGATTCTCTGCGTCGATCGTCCAGCGCGAGCGTCTCTCCTCGTCTCCAGTCTCTCTCGTCCTCTCTCCCCTCTCTCTGCACTTACCGCGGTCGACATCTTCCCGGTTCCAGCCATCCCGTGCTCTCCTCTTACCACCTCATCTCTCGATGCGTCTCCCGTCTCCTCAGTCTCTCCGCACTTCTCGCGTCGCTCTCTTTCTGCTCTCTCTCCTCCTCTCAGCTCTTCTACATCGTCTCTCCTCGACTCTACGGTTATTCGTCATTGATCCTCTCATGTGTCTTCCGGAGTCATCTCGGTATCTCATCTCTGAGGCGTCCCTCGAAGCTGCCAGGGTTCTCTGATATTTAAGTGAAAGGGGTAAACTCCAGCCGGTCATGTCCTTCTCTCTGCTCCATCTCCCTCTCTGTCATCGTTCATCTCATCGTCTCCCCAAGGCGAGTCTAGTGGGGTCTCGTCACTCTCCATCTCTCCCTCTCAATTCAATTCACTGTAGTGCCCGTATTGGCATGGAAACTGTGTTACATTGCCAAAGCAAGTGAAGTAGATAGTAAACAAAAGTGAAATAAACAATAAATATTAACAGTAAACATTACACTCAGAAGTGAATAAAGACATTTCAAATGTCAAATTATGTATATATACAGTGTTGTAACAATGTGCAAATAGTTAAAGTAGAAATGGGAATATAAATAAACATAAATATGGGTTGTATTTACAATGGTGTTTGTTCTTCACTGGTTGCCCTTTTCTTGTGGCAACTGGTCACAAATCTTGCAGCTGTGATGACACACTGTGGTTTTTCACCCAGTAGATAAGGGAGTTTATCAAAATTGGGTTTGTTTTCAAATTCTTTGTGGATCGCTGTAATCTGAGGGAAATATGTGTCTCTAATATGGTCATACATTTGGCAGGAGGTTAGGAAGTGCAGCTCAGTTTCCACCTCATTTTGTGGGCATTGTGCACATAGCCTGTCTTCTCTTGAGAGCCAGGTCTGCCTACAGCGGCCTTTCTCAATAGCAAGGCTATGCTCACTGAGTCTGTACATAGTCAAAGCTTTCCTTACGTTTGGGTCAGTCACAGTAGTCAGGTATTCTGCCACTGTGTACTCTCTGTTTAGGGCCAAATAGCATTCTAGTTTGCTCTGTTTTTTTGTTTGTTCTTTCCAATGTGTCAAGTAATTCTCTTTTTGTTTTCTCATGATTTTGTTGGGTCTAATTGTGTTGTTGTTGTTGTTGTCTTGGGGCTGTGTGGGGTCTGTTTGTGTTTGTGAACAGAGCCCCAGGACCAGCTTGCTTAGGGGACTCTTCTCCAAGTTCATCTCTCTGTAGGTGATGGCTTTGTTATGGAAGGTTTGGGAATCGCTTCCTTTTAAGTGGTTATAGAATTTAACGGCTCTTTTCTGGATTTTGATTCTGGATCTCTCTCTCTCTACTCTCTTTCCCTCCAACCATCCCTCTCTCTCTCTCTCTCTCTCTCCTCTCTTTTCTATATCCATCCCTCTCTCCCTCCTCCACTCCTCTGTATTTCTGAGATGGACAGAACGTTCCATTTAACACTTCGACAGACAGACAGACAGACACAGACACAGACACAGAGACAGAGACAGAGACAGAGACAGAGACAGAGACAGAGACAGAGAGAGAGAGAGAGAGAGAGAGAGAGAGAGAGAGAGAGAGAGAGAGAGAGAGAGAGGAGAGGAGAGAGAGAGAGAGAGAGAGATAAAGAGAGGAGAGAGAGATAGTGTGTGTGTGTGTCAATCATTCAATCTGTCTCCCTCTCTTCAAACATCGGGTGATCCCTCACGGCTAATCTGCATGTGTATGTTCTTTTACTGCCAAGACCCAAAGGTTACACACAGCCACACACACTCACAACCACATACACACACACACACACACAGCCACACACGCACCAGAGCCCAAAGGTTGTTGAGAACAGGACAACAATTACACCGTGAGACTGACTGGCAGATGGCTGTCACCAGGGGCGATAGCATCCATAGTGACAGCGACCATGGCGATGGCGACGGAGGCATGGGATGTTTCTAGAACACTCAGAGCCAACGGCCTGACTTTCACCACAGAACAAATGAAGAACAGAACATCCGAGAAGAACAGAAGAAGAAGAAATGTTATGCTACGGGAAGCAGCTTGGTCCACAGTTACACTCTATCAACTTGCAAAACCCATTACACGCCTGCCTGCCTGCCTGCTTACAAACCGTATGGTATGTACTTGGCATACTATAAACCTACGTGATCTTACTAAAAAAACACTCATATATATATATATATATATATATATATATATACACAAACATATCGTTGGATAGATCCACTCACTCACACCAGCCCGCCATCATACTAGAAATGAAAAAACACAGAGCTGTTGAGACTGAAAGTGTCATGGCGGGGGATTTCGTTGACGGCGAAGAGAAACCGCTACAGTGGTGAAATGATTCATTCGCCTGGGTTAATGGGAAAAAAAAGCCGTTGCACTTGAGTGTGTGTACGTGTTTAAATATAGACGTATTGAATTCCATCCAGAGGGACTTGAGGTTAACGCCGTCTCTGTGTTTCCCATATAATACAATAATAACACCTTTAACTAGCGCTTCTCGTTACAGTGTTATCTCGAAGAAAAAAATTATGATAAAATACAGTAAATAAAGTACAATAAATTAAATACAGTAAAATTAAATACAATAAAAACATAATTTAGAACCAGGAAATAGTAGGCTAAAAGGACTTTCCAGATTAGAGCTAGAAGACAGCCAATGGAAATGGGTTTTAAGGCCGGTTTTAAAAGTTTAAAGTTTCCCATTGATGGAGCGGCTCTCAGATTTACATTTACGTCATTTAGCAGACGCTCTTATCCAGAGCGACTTACAAATTGGTGCATTCAACTTATGAGCAAGTGGTGGCCTTCATTTTAGAGATGATTGACTGCACAGGGTCAAGGGAGCAAGTGGTGGCCTTCATTTTAGAGATGATTGACTGCACAGGGTCAAGGGAGCAAGTGGTGGCCTTCATTTTAGAGATTATTGACTGCACAGGGTCAAGGGAGCAAGTGGTGGCCTTCATTTTAGAGATGATTGACTGCAAAGGGTCAAGGGAGCAAGTGGTGGCCTTCATTTTAGAGATGATTGACTGCACAGGGTCAAGGGAGCAAGTGGTGGCCTTCATTTTAGAGATGATTGACTGCACAGCGCTGGATGGGACTTCATGCGAAGCTGCTGAGGGGAGGGGCAGTCTGGGTTGGGGGGGGGGGGGGCTCAGGAGGTGGGGTTCAGGTCATATTAGAGGCCGTGGTGTTTGTTCTGACAGTGTCGATCTTATCCTTGAAAAAAATCAGAGAAGCAACTGCACTGCTCAGATGAGGCTGCAGGAGGGCATGAGATGAGGCTGGTTGATGGTTGAGAACAGGGTTCTGGGGTCATCTTAGTTGTAGAGTAGAAGGCTGGTTGATGGTTGAGAACAGGGTTCTGGGGTCATCTTAGTTGTGGAGTAGAAGGCTGGTTGATGGTTGAGAACAGGGTTCTGGGGTCATCTTAGTTGTAGAGTAGAAGGCTGGTTGATGGTTGAGAACAGGGTTCTGGGGTCATCTTAGTTGTAGAGTAGAAGGCTGGTTGATGGTTGAGAACAGGGTTCTGGGGTTATCTTAGTTGTGGAGTAGAAGGCTGGTTGATGGTTGAGAACAGGGTTCTGGGGTCATCTTAGTTGTGGAGTAGAAGGCTGGTTGATGGTTGAGAACAGGGTTCTGGGGTTATCTTAGTTGTGGAGTAGAAGGCTGGTTGATGGTTGAGAACAGGGTTCTGGGGTCATCTTAGTTGTAGAGTAGAAGGCTGGTTGATGGTTGAGAACAGGGTTCTGGGGTCATCTTAGTTGTGGAGTAGAAGGCTGGTTGATGGTTGAGAACAGGGTTCTGGGGTTATCTTAGTTGTGGAGTAGAAGGCTGGTTGATGGTTGAGAACAGGGTTCTGGGGTCATCTTAGTTGTAGAGTAGAAGGCTGGTTGATGGTTGAGAACAGGGTTCTGGGGTCATCTTAGTTGTAGAGTAGAAGGCTGGTTGATGGTTGAGAACAGGGTTCTGGGGTCATCTTAGTTGTAGAGTAGAAGGCTGGTTGATGGTTGAGAACAGGGTTCTGGGGTCATCTTAGTTGTAGAGTAGAAGGCTTGTTGATGGTTGAGAACAGGGTTCTGGGGTCATCTTAGTTGTAGAGTAGAAGGCTGGTTGATGGTTGAGAACAGGGTTCTGGGGTCATCTTAGTTGTGGAGTAGAAGGCTGATCATGCTGCTTTTAAGGCAGCAGAGCAGCTTGCTTGGTGGTATTTATAGGCCAGTAGATGGACAGTGAGGCCATCCTTCCAGCAATTGTGCGCCGCCCCATGTGTCTCCCGGTCACGGCCGGCTACGACAGAGCCTGGATTCGAAGCAGGGTCTGCACCACTCGGGAGATGGTGATCCTTCCAGCAAGACCTCTCAAGCTTACAGCCATGAGTCTTCAATCTGCGCAGTTCATCAGTGAACCAGGGTGAAGAACATTGGAATGTTTTTTTCGGTAGCAAGGATGTTCAGGGTATTACTCAGAGTGCTGTTGTACAGGTTGACCATGTCGTCGAGGGCCGGCTCGCTGCGGTCAGGCTCAAAGGAGGGCTGGATGTGTTCCAGGTAGAGGGATGGGTTGAGTTTCCTTATGTTGCGGAATTTAATGGACACTGGAAAGGATTTGGAGCGGTCAGAGACGCCTAGCTCGATGACAAGCAAGTCAGAGGCAGGGATATTGCCAGTGATAATGAGGTCCAATGTGTGTCCACAGTTGTGGGTGGAAACATTTACATGTTGCGCAAGGTTTAGACAGTCAATAGTAGTAGACCAGTAGAGCGCTATATCTGAATGCTACAGCATGCAGACTGTGTCACCAAACTCATTCCACCTCTATCTGAATGCTACAGCATGCAGACTGTGTCACCAAACTCCTTCCACCTCTCAGATCTTCTCTGCTTGGAGTACTTGTATATCTGGTGCTTGGACTTAATTTAAATGGAGCTCTTTATTGTAGAAATCGCTAAAAAAGTATTAGTTATATAAAAGTGAATGTTGCAATACTGACCTTTTTAGCTGTGTGTGTGTGTGTTCCATCATATACACTCTACCTTTTGGTTCCAGGTAGAACCCTTTTGGTTCCAGGTAGAACCCTTTTGGTTCCAGGTAGAACCCTTTTGGTTCCATGGGACAGCCGAAGAACCCTTTTGGAACTCTTTTTTTCTAAGAGTGTAGACCAGGGATTAGCAACTTTCATGATATAGACAGTAGAAGGGGACGGAGACAGTTGTCCATCCCTGATATAGACAGTAGAAGGGGACGGAGACAGTTGTCCATCCCTGATATAGACAGTAGAAGGGGACGGAGACAGTTGTCCATCCCTGATATAGACAGTAGAAGGGGACTAAGACAGTTGTCCATCCCTGATATAGACAGTAGAAGGGGACGGAGACAGTTGTCCATCCCTGATATAGACAGTAGAAGGGGACGGAGACAGTTGTCCATCCCTGATATAGACAGTAGAAGGGGACGGAGACAGTTGTCCATCCCTGATATAGACAGTAGAAGGGGACGGAGACAGTTGTCCATCCCTGATATAGACAGTAGAAGGGGACGGAGACAGTTTGTCCATCCCTGATATAGACAGTAGAAGGGGACTGGAGACAGTTGTCCATCCCTGATATAGACAGTAGAAGGGGACGGAGACAGTTGTCCATCCCTGATATAGACAGTAGAAGGGGACGAGACAGTTGTCCATCCCTGATATAGACAGTAGAAGGGGACTGAGACAGTTGTCCATCCCTGATATAGACAGTAGAAGGGGACGGAGACAGTTGTCCATCCCTGATATAGACAGTTAGAAGGGGACTGAGACAGTTGTCCATCCCTGATATAGACAGTAGAAGGGGACTGAGACAGTTGTCCATCCCTGATATAGACAGTAGAAGGGGACGGAGACAGTTGTCCATCCCTGATATAGACAGTAGAAGGGGACGGAGACAGTTGTCCATCCCTGATATAGACAGTAGAAGGGGACGGAGACAGTTGTCCATCCCTGATATAGACAGTAGAAGGGGACGGAGACAGTTGTCCATCCCTGATATAGACAGTAGAAGGGGACGGAGACAGTTGTCCATCCCTGATATAGACAGTAGAAGGGGACTGAGACAGTTGTCCATCCCTGATATAGACAGTAGAAGGGGACGGAGACAGTTGTCCATCCCTGATATAGACAGTAGAAGGGGACGGAGACAGTTGTCCATCCCTGATATAGACAGTAGAAGGGGACGGAGACAGTTGTCCATCCCTGATATAGACAGTAGAAGGGGACGGAGACAGTTGTCCATCCCTGATATAGACAGTAGAAGGGGACGGAGACAGTTGTCCATCCCTGATATAGACAGTAGAAGGGGACTGAGACAGTTGTCCATCCCTGATATAGACAGTAGAAGGGGACTGAGACAGTTGTCCATCCCTGATATAGACAGTAGAAGGGGACGGAGACAGATAAGGTAACATATCATTGAAACCCTGTGTGTGTAATATACCCATTTAGCAGACACTTTATTAATCAAGTGACTTACTTTCATGCATTTTTTATGTATAGGTGACCCAGGAATTGAACCCACTATCTTGCGATTGAAAGAGCCATGCTCTACCGACTGAGCCACGCTCTACCGACTGAGCCATGCTCTACCGACTGAGATACGCTCTACCGACTGAGATACGCTCTACCGACTGAGATACGCTCTACCGACTGAGATACGCTCTACCGACTGAGATACGCTCTACCGACTGAGCCACGCTCTACCGACTGAGCCACGCTCTACCGACTGAGCCACGCTCTACCGACTGAGATACGCTCTACCGACTGATATACGCTCTACCGACTGAGATACGCTCTACCGACTGAGATACGCTCTACCGACTGAGATACGCTCTACCGACTGAGATACGCTCTACCGACTGAGCCACGCTCTACCGACTGAGCCCTGCTCTACCGACTGAGCCACGCTTTACCGACTGAGATACGCTCTACCGACTGAGATACGCTCTACCGACTGAGATACGCTCTACCGACTGAGATACGCTCTACCGACTGAGATAGGCTCTACCGACTGAGCCACGCTCTACCGACTGTAGAATTATCTGTTTAGAATTATCTGTTTAGTGTGTTAACACACTATTGGTAGTTTGTTGTAACCAAGTATTGGAGTAGGGCCTCCCTCACGCACTGGGGAGTCAGTGAAACAATTATAGTTTCTGAGGTGGAAGTTTTGGTGAGAGAGGCCCTACTCTCTCCTTTCCCAGATGTTTAGTTCATTTCATTCCGATCTCCTCTGCATTATTGTAGCCATTTGCTACAGCCTGTCAGCTATGCCTCTGCCTATCCCTGTTCTCTCCTCTCCGCACAGGCTACACAAACGCCTCACACCGCGTGGCTGCTGCCTCTCTAACCTGGTGGTCCCTGCACGCACCCCACACCTGGAGTTCCAGGTCTCAGGCAGCCTCTGGAACTGCCGTTCTGCTGCCAACAAGGCTGACTTCATCCCAGCCTATGCTAACCTCCAGTCCCTCGACTTCCTGGCGCTGACAGAAACATGGATTACCACTGAAAACACTGCTACTCCTACTGCTCTCTCCTCGTCTGACCATGTGTTCTCGCATACCCCGAGAGCATCTGGTCAGAGGGGTGGTGGCACAGGAATCCTCATCTCTCCCAAGTGGACATTCTCAATTTTTCCCCTAACCCATCTGTCTATCTCCTCATTTGAATTCCATGCTGTCATAGTCACTAGCCCATTTAAGCTTAATATCCTTGTCATCTATCGCCCTCCAGGTTCCCTTGGAGAGTTCATCAATGAGCTTGACGCCTTGATAAGTTCCTTTCCTGAGGATGGCTCACCCCTCACAGTTTTGGGGGATTTCAACCTCCCTACGTCTACATTTGACTAATTTCTCTCTGCCTCCTTCTTTCCACTCCTCTCCTCTTTTGACCTCACCCTCTCACCGTCCCCCCCTACTCACAAGGCAGGTAATACGCTTGACCTCATCTTTACTAGATGCTGCTCTTCTACTAATCTCACTGCAACTCCCCTCCATGTCTCCGACCACTACTTTGTATCCTTTTCTCTCTCGCTCTCCTCCAACACTATTCACTCTGCCCCTACACAGATGGTAATGCGCCACCGCAACCTTCGCTCTCTCTCTCCCACTACTCTCTCCTCTTCCATCCTATCATCTCTTCAATCTGCTCAATCCTTCTACCTCCAATCTCCTGATTCTGCCTCCTCAACCCTCCTCTCCTCCCTTTCTGCATCCTTTGACTCTCTGTGTCCCCTATCCTCCCGGCCGGCTCGGTCCTCCCCTCCAGCTCCGTGGCTTGATGACTCATTGCGAGCTCACAGAACAGAGCTCCGGGCAGCGGAGCGGAAATGGAAGAAAACTAAACTCCCTGCCGACCTGGCATCTTTTCACTCCCTCCTCTCTACATTTTCTTCATCTGTTTCTGCTGCTAAGGCCACTTTCTACCACTCTAAATTCCAAGCATCTGCCTCTAACCCTAGGAAGCTCTTTGCCACATTCTCCTCCCTGCTGAATCCTCCCCCCCCCCCCCCCCCCCCCCCCCCTCCTCTCTCTCTGTGGATGACTTCGTCAACCACTTTGAAAAGAAGGTTGACGACATCCGATCCTCGTTTGTTAAGTCTAATGACACTGCTGGTCCTGCTCACACTGCCCTACCCTATGCTTTGACTTCTTTCTCCCCTCTCTCTCCAGATAAAATCCTGCGACTTGTGACTGCAGGCCGCCCAACAACCTGCCCGCTTGACCCCATCCCCTCCTCTCTTCTCAAGACCATCTCCGGTGACCTTCTCCCCTACCTCACCTCGCTGATCAACTCATCCTTGACCGCTGGCTATGTCCCTTCCGTCTTCAAGAGAGCGAGAGTTGCACCCCTTCTCAAAAAACCAACACTCGATCCCACTGATGTCAACAACTACAGACCAGTATCCCTTCTTTCTTTTCTTTCCAAAACTATTGAGCGTGCCGTCTTTAGCCAACTCTCTTGCTATCTCCCTCAGAATGACCTTCTTGATCCAAACCAGTCAGGTTTCAGGACTGGTCACTCAACTGAGACTGCTCTTCTCTGTGTCACGGAGGCTCTCCGCACTGCTAAAGCTAACTCTCTCCTCTGCTCTTGTCCTTCTAGACCTGTCTGCTGCCTTTGATACTGTGAACCATCAGATCCTCCTCTCCACCCTCTCCGAGCTGGGCATCTCCGGCGCGGCTCACTCCTGGATTGCGTCCTACCTGACCGGTCGCTCCTACCAAGTGGCGTGGCGAGAAGCTGTCTCCGCACCATGTGCTCTCACCACTGGTGTCACCCAGGGCTCAGTTCTAGGCCCTCTGCTATTCTCCCTGTACACCAAGTCACTTGGCTCTGTCATATCCTCACATGGCCTCTCCTATCATTGCTACGCTGACGATACACAACTAATCTTCTCCTTTCCCCCTTCTGATAACCAGGTGGCGAATCGCATCTCTGCATGTCTGGCAGACATATCAGTATGGATGACGGATCACCACCTCAAGCTGAACCCTGGCAAGACGGAGCTGCTCTTCCTCCCGGGGAAGGACTGCCCGTTCCATGATCTCGCCATCACGGTTGACAACTCCGTTGTGTCCTCCTCCCAGAGTGCGAAGAGCCTTGGCGTGACCCTGGACAACACCCTGTCGTTCTCCGCTAACATCAAGGCGGTGACCCGATCCTGCAGGTTCATGCTCTACAACATTCGGAGAGTACGACCCTGCCTTACACAGGAAGCGGCACAGGTCCTAATCCAGGCACTTGTCATCTCCCGTCTGGACTACTGCAACTCGCTGTTGGCTGGGCTCCCTGCCTGTGCCATTAAACCCCTACAACTCATCCAGAATGCCGCAGCCCGTCTGGTGTTCAACCTTCCCAAGTTCTCTCACGTCACCCCGCTCCTCCGCACACTCCACTGGCTTCCAGTTGAAGCTCGCATCTGTTACAAGACCATGGTGCTTGCCTATGGAGCTGTGAGGGGATCGGCACCTCTGTACCTTCAGGCTCTGATCAGTCCCTACACCCAAACGAGGGCATTGCGTTCATCCACCTCTGGCCTGCTGGCTCCCCTTCCTCTGCGGAAGCATAGTTCCCGCTCAACCCAGTCAAAACTGTTCGCTGCTCTGGCACCCCAATGGTGGAACAAGCTCCCTCACGACGCCAGGACAGCGGAGTCACTCACCACCTTCCGGAGACATTTGAAACCCCACCTCTTTATCCCACTGGCTATAGGGTGAATGCACCAATTTGTAAGTCGCTCTGGATAAGAGTGTCTGCTAAATGACGTAAATGTAATGTAAATGTACCGACTCAGCCACGCTCTACCGACTGAGATACGCTCTACCGACTGAGATACGCTCTACCGACTGAGATACGCTCTACCGACTGAGATACGCTCTACCGACAGAGATACGCTCTACCGACAGAGATACGCTCTACCGACAGAGATACGCTCTACCGACAGAGATACGCTCTACCGACAGAGATACGCTCTACCGACAGAGATACGCTCTACCGACTGAGCCACGCTCTACCGACTGAGATACGCTCTACCGACTGAGATACGCTCTACCGACTGAGATACGCTCTACCGACTGAGCCATGCTCTACCGACTGAGCCACGCTCTACCGACTGAGATACGCTCTACCGACTGAGATACGCTCTACCGACTGAGATACGCTCTACCGACTGAGATACGCTCTACCGACTGAGATACGCTCTACCGACTGAGATACGCTCTACCGACTGAGATACGCTCTACCGACTGAGCCACGCTCTACCGACTGAGATACGCTCTACCGACTGAGATACGCTCTACCGACTGAGCCACGCTCTACCGACTGAGCCACGCTCTACCGACTGAGCCACGCTCTTCCGACTGAGATACGCTCTACCGACTGAGATACGCTCTACCGACTGAGATACGCTCGACCTACTGAGCCACGCTCTACCGACTGAGCCACGCTCTACTGACTGAGATACACTCTACCGACTGACCCACGCTCTACCGACTGAGATACGCTCTACCGACTGAGATACGCTCTACCGACTGAGATACGCTCTACCGACTGAGATACGCTCTACCGACTGAGCCACGCTCTACCGACTGAGATACGCTCTACCGACTGAGCCACGCTCTACCGACTGATTCACGCTCTACCGACTGAGATACGCTCTACCGACTGAGATACGCTCTACCGACTGAGATACGCTCTACCGACTGAGATACGCTCTACCGACTGAGCCACGCTCTACCGACTGAGCCACGCTCTACCGACTGATATACGCTCTACCGACTGAGCCACGCTCTACCGACTGAGCCACGCTCTACCGACAGAGATACGCTCTACCGACTGAGCCACGCTCTACCGACTGAGATACGCTCTACCGACTGAGATACGCTCTACCGACTGAGATACGCTCTACCGACTGAGATACGCTCTACCGACTGAGATACACTCTACCGACTGAGCCATGCTCTACCGACTGAGCCATGCTCTACCGACTGAGATACGCTCTACCGACTGAGATACGTTCTACCGACTGAGATACGCTCTACCGACTGAGATACGCTCTACCGACTGAGCCACGCTCTACCGACTGAGATACGCTCTACCGACTGAGATACACTCTACCGACTGAGCCACGCTCTACCGACTGAGCCACGCTCTACCGACTGAAGCCCCGCTCTTCCGACTGAGATACGCTCTACCGACTGAGATACGCTCTACCGACTGAGATACGCTCGACCTACTGAGCCACGCTCTACCGACTGAGCCACGCTCTACCGACTGAGATACACTCTACCGACTGACCCACGCTCTACCGACTGAGATACGCTCTACCGACTGAGATACGCTCTACCGACTGAGATACGCTCTACCGACTGAGATACGCTCTACCGACTGAGCCACGCTCTACCGACCTGAGATACGCTCTACCGACTGAGCCACGCTCTACCGACTGATTCACGCTCTACCGACTGAGATACGCTTACCGACTGAGTACGCTCTACCGACTGAGATACGCTCTACGACTGAGATACGCTCAACCGACTTGAGCCACGCTCTACCGACTGAGCCACGCTCTACCGATGATATACGCTCTACCGAGAGCCACGTTACCGATGAGCACGCTCTACGACTGAGCCGCTCTACGACGAGCCACGCTCTACGATGAGCCACGCTCTACGATGAGATACGCTCACCGACTGAGATACGCTCTACCGACTGAGATACGCTCTACCGGACTGAGCCACGCTCTACCGAGACTGAGATACGCTATACCGACTGAGATACGCTCTACCGATGAGATTACGCTTACGACTGAGCTGAGCTACGTCTACCGACTGAGACACGCTCTACGACTAAGATACGCTCACCGATGAGATAAGCTTACCGGACTGAGAACGCTGTCTACCGACTGGCATAGTCCTACCGACTGCGATAACGCTTTTACGACTGAGCCACAGCCTATACCCGGACTGAGCATTACGCTCTAACGACTGAGCACGTATACCGCATGAGCCACGCTCTACCGATCTGAGCCACGCTCTACCGACTGAGATACGATCTACCCGATGAGGAGATATCGCTCTACCGACTGAGATACGCTCTACCGACTGAGATACGCTCTACCGACTGAGCCACGCTCTCTACCGACTGAGATACGCTCTACCGACTGAGATACGCTCTACGACTGGAAGACGTATACCGACTGAGCCAAGCTTTCGCCCGACAGATGATACGCTTACGACTGAGATACGCTATTACCGAATGACCACGGCGCACCGTGGAAGCCATGAATCTATTTGATTATCATTAATCTAGATTCACTCTGACAGGCCTGTATGAGCGTTGTGTGTGTGTGAGTGCATGTTTTGGAAGTCATACAGCCATTATCTCAGCAGAAACTGACAGCACGATCACTGACGTCAATTCCAATTTCTTTATAAATAGACCATAGATGTGCGAAAGCTTTTAGTGTACTTTATTTGAAGTCCACTTTGATTCTAAAAAGAAGAGACCTCTGCAGAATTCACCAATGTCTGAACACTGTTCAATTGGGCCAGACACCAGGAGCCAAATCAAAGTTTTTTCTTAACGTGAAAGAAAAGTGAGAATGTTGTGTATTTTTTACTTGTCTATGATGCTGTAAATGTATTCTTGTGAGGTTATCTCGTAACATGTTTCCACCACTTTTGTTAACTTGTGGGTTTTTACATCATCAGAATTGAGCATGCATCAGTCCCAACAGCTGTGGTCCTTTGTAGATCAGTTGGTAGAGCATGGCACTTGTAAAGCCAGTGTAGTGGGTTCGATCCCCGGGACCACCCATACTTAAAAATGTATGCACGCATGACTGTAAGTCGCTTTGGATAAAAGTGTCTGCTAAATGGCATATTATGTATTACGATACTAGATAACAGTCTACCCTTTATAAATACCCTATAGATGTACTATGATACTAGTTCAGTCTACACTTTGTACAGTGCATTCGGAAAGTATTCTGACCCCTTGACTTTTTCCACATTTTAATTTCTCTATTCTTTACTCCTAGATGTGAGAGGCCAGTCTACCCTTTCCTGCCAGAGAAAAAGGGGAGAAAGGAGTGATGGAGAGAGATAATGGGTTCGGAGGAAGGGAGGGGGAGGAAAGGAGGGAGAGAGAGCGAGAGAGGGATGCAGGGATGATGGAGGGAGAGATGTGAAGGTATTTATATGCTGTGGTCCCTGGACTGTTCTATGAATTATAGACCCCTCAACTTGATAAGCACACACTCCGACACAGAAACACACACTCCGACACAGAAACACACACTCCGACTCCAAGTACTAAGTCAAGTTTTGCAGAGGGGTCAAATACTTATTTCCCTCATTAAAATGCAAATAATTTTATAACATTTTTGACATGCGTTTTTCTGGATTTTTTTGTTGTTATTCTGTCTCTCACTGTTCAAATAAACCTACCATTAAAATTATAGACTGATCATTTCTTTGTCAGTGGGCAAACGTACAAAATCAGCAGTGGATCAAATACTTTTTTCCCTCACTGTACATGTCAATCTGTCATGGCTCAAAGTGGAAGAGAGATTGACTTCATCACTAGTTGTTTTTGTAAGAAGTGTTGACAAGTTGAAAGCACAGAGCTGTCTGTTTAAACTACTAGCACACAGCTCGGACACCCACGCATACCCCACAAGACATGCCACCAGAGGTCTCTTCACAGTCCCCAAGTCCAGAACAGACTATGGGAGGCACACAGTACTACATAGAGCCATGACTACATGGAACTCTATTCCACATCAGGTAATTGATGCAAGTAGTAAAATTAGATTTTAAAAACAGATAAAAATACACTTTATGTAACAGCGGGGACTGTGAAGAGACACACACACAGGTACAGACACACACAAGCGCTAGCACACGCACTCTACACACACATACATTGTAATACTGTTGTATGGTGGTATTATACATTTTGTATTGTATATATGTAGTGGTGTAATAATGTTATATGATGTACTGTTTTATCTCTTGTTTTATATGTAATGTAAGTGCCTTAATGTGTTTGGACTCTAGGAAGAGTAGCTGCTGCCTTGGCAACAGCTAACGGGGATCCCAAATAAATACAAACACACTGACCTCTATAAACATCACACTGACCTCTATCACTTTCACACTGACCGCTAACACTATCACACTGACCTCTGTCACTATCACAATGACCTCTATCAACATCACTCTGACCTATATCAAACTGACATCACAATGACCTCTGTCACCATGACAATGACCTCTGTCACCATGACAATGACCTCTGTCACCATGACAATGACCTCTGTCACCATGACAATGACCTCTGTCACCATGACAATGACCTCTGTCACCATGACAATGACCTCTGTCGCTATCACACTGACCTCTGTCGCTATCACACTGACCTCTGTCGCTATCACACTGACCTCTGTCGCTATCACACTGACCTCTGTCGCTATCACACTGACCTCTGTCGCTATCACACTGACCTCTGTCGCTATCACACTGACCTCTGTCGCTATCACACTGACCTCTGTCGCTATCACACTGACCTCTGTCGCCATGACAATGACCTCTGTCGCTATCACACTGACCTCTGTCGCTATCACACTGACCTCTGTCGCTATCACACTGACCTCTGTCACTATCACACTGACCTCTATCACTATCACACTGACCTCTATCACTATCACACTGACCTCTACCTCTATCACACTGACCTCTATCACACTGACCTCTATCACACTGACCTCTATCACACTGACCTCTATCACACTGACCTCTATCACACTGACCTCTATCACACTGACCTCTATCACACTGACCTCTATCACACTGACCTCTATCACACTGACCTCTATCACACTGACCTCTTTCACACTGACCTCTATCACTATCACACTGACCTTCTATCACTATCACACTGAACTCTGTCACTATCACACTGACCTCTATCACACTGACCTCTAGCACTATCACACTGACCTCTAGCACTATCACACTGACCTCTATTACTATCACACTGACCTCTATCACACTGACCTCTATCACACTGACCTCTGTCACTATCACACTGACCTCTGTCACTATCACAATGACCTCTGTCACTATCACACTGACCTCTGTCACTATCACACTGACCTCTGTCACTATCACACTGACCTCTGTCACTATCACACTGACCTCTATCACTATCACACTGACCTCTATGACTATCACACTGACCTCTATCACTATCACACTGACCTCTATCACTATCACACTGACCTCTATCACACTGACCTCTATCACACTGACCTCTATCACACTGACCTCTATCACACTGACCTCTATCACACTGACCTCTATCACACTGACCTCTATCACACTGACCTCTATCACTATCACACTGACCTCTGTCACTATCACACTGACCTCTGTCACTATCACACTGACCTCTGTCACTATCACACTGACCTCTGTCACTATCACACTGACCTCTGTCACTATCACACTGACCTCTGTCACTATCACACTGACCTCTGTCACTATCACAATGACCTCTGTCACTATCACACTGACCTCTGTCACTATCACACTGACCTCTGTCACTATCACACTGACCTCTGTCACTATCACACTGACCTCTATCACTATCATACTGACCTCTATCACTATCAGACTGACCTCTATCACTAACACACTGACCTCTGTCACTATCACACTGACCTCTGTCACTATCACACTGACCTCTGTCACTATCACACTGACCTCTGTCACTATCACACTGACCTCTGTCACTATCAAACTGACCTCTGTCACTATCACACTGACCTCTGTCACTATCACTCTGACCTCTGTCACTATCACACTGACCTCTGTCACTATCACAATGACCTCTGTCACTATCACACTGACCTCTGTCACTATCACACTGACCTCTGTCACTATCACAACTGACCTCTGTCACTATCACACTGACCTCTGTCACTATCACCTGACCTCTGTCACTATCACACTGACCTCTGTCACTATCACCTGACCTCTGTCACTATCACACTGACCTCTGTCACTATCACTCTGATCTACTATCACAAACCTCTGCACTCAATCACTAACACACTGACCTCTAACACTATCACACCTGACCTCTGTCACTATCACACTGACCTCTGTCACTATCACACTGACCTCTGTCACTATCACACTGACCCCTCTGCACTATCACAACCTGACCTCTACATCACACGACCTCTTCACTATCACACTGACCTCTGTCACTATCACACTGACCTCTGTCACTATCACCGACTTGTCACTACCACTGACCTCTGTCACTATCACACTGACCTCTGTCACTATCACACTGACCTCTGTCACTATCACACTGACCTCTGTCACTATCACACTGACCTCTGTCACTATCACACTGACCTCTGTCACTATCACTGACCTCTGTCACTATCACTCTGACCTCTGTCACTATCACACTGACCTCTGTCACTATCACAATGACCTCTGTCACTATCCACACTGACCTCTGTCACTATCACACTGACCTCTGTCACTATCACAATGACCTCTGTCACTATCACACTGACCTCTGTCACTATCACACTGACCTCTGTCACTATCACTCTGACCTCTGTCACTATCACACTGACCTCTGTCACTATCACTCTGATCTCTATCACAAACACTCTGACCTCTATCACTAACACACTGACCTCTATCACTATCACACCGACCTCTATCACTATCACACTGACCTCTGTCACTATCACACTGACCTCTGTCACTATCACACTGACCTCTGTCACTATCACACTGACCTCTGTCACTATCACAATGACCTCTGTCACTATCACACTGACCTCTGTCACTATCACACTGACCTCTGTCACTATCACACTGACCTCTGTCACTATCACACTGACCTCTGTCACTATCACACTGACCTCTGTCACTATCACACTGACCTCTATCACTATCATACTGACCTCTATCACTAACACACTGACCTCTGTCACTAACACACTGACCTCTGTCACTATCACACTGACCTCTGTCACTATCACACTGACCTCTGTCACTATCACAATGACCTCTGTCACTATCACACTGACCTCTGTCACTATCACACTGACCTCTGTCACTATCACACTGACCTCTGTCACTATCACACTGACCTCTGTCACTATCACTCTGACCTCTGTCACTATCACACTGACCTCTGTCACTATCACTCTGATCTCTATCACAAACACTCTGACCTCTATCACAACTATGTAAACTGTCAGAAGTCTTCTCACTCTAACTATGTAAACCTCTGTCGCTATCACACTGACCTCTGTCACTATCACACTGACCTCTGTCACTATCACACTGACCTCTGTCACTATCACAATGACCTCTGTCACTATCACACTGACCTCTGTCACTATCACACTGACCTCTTTCACTATCACACTGACCTCTGTCACTATCACACTGACCTCTGTCACTATCACACTGACCTCTGTCGCTATCACACTGACCTCTGTCGCTATCACACTGACCTCTGTCGCTATCACACTGACCTCTGTCGCTATCACACTGACCTCTATCACTATCACACTGACCTCTATCACTATCACACTGACCTCTATCACTATCACACTGACCTCTATCACTATCACACTGACCTCTATCACACTGACCTCTATCACACAGACCTCTATCACACAGACCTCTATCACACTGACCTCTATCACTATCACACTGACCTCTATCACTAACACACTGACCTCTATCACTATCACACCGACCTCTATCACTATCACACCGACCTCTATCACTATCACACCGACCTCTATCACTATCACACCGACCTCTATCACTATTACACCGACCTCTGTCACTATCACACTGACCTCTGTCACTATCACACTGACCTCTGTCGCTATCACACTGACCTCTGTCGCTATCACACTGACCTCTGTCGCTATCACACTGACCTCTGTCGCTATCACACTGACCTCTGTCGCTATCACACTGACCTCTGTCGCTATCACACTGACCTCTATAACACTGAATTCTATCACACTGACCTCTATAACCATCACACTGACCTCTATCACACTGACCTCTATCACACTGACCTCTATCACACTGACCTCTATCACTATCACACTGACCTCTATCACTATCACACTGACCTCTATCACTATCACACTGACCTCTGTCACTATCACACTGACCTCTATCACACTGACCTCTATCACACTGACCTCTATCACCATCATGGTAGAGCCAGTGGTGTGTGTCCCCAGCACGGTCCGGCCTGTTACGGCCCCTCGCACCAAGTGTACGGTGCGCGTCGCCAGCCCGGCCCGGCCTGTTCCTGCCCCTCGCACCAAGCCTACGGTGTGCGTCGCCAGCCCGGTCCGGCCTGTCCCTGCTCCACGCACCAAGCCTACGGTGTGCGTCGCCAGCCCGATCCGGCCTATCCCTGCTCCTCGCACCAAGCCTACGGTGTGCGTCGCCAGCCCGGTCCAGCCTGTCCCTGCTCCTCGGACCAAGCCTACGGTGCGTCGCCAGCCCGGTCCGGCCTGTCCCTGCTCCACGCACCAAGCCAGGGGTGCGCGTCGTCAGTCCAGCACAACCCGTGCCTGGGTCACCGGTGCCTGGTAAGGTACCGGTCAACTGCTCCACTACGGAGCTGAAGCTAACTGCTCCTGCTATGTCCAGTTCAGCTCCAGCCAGCGGGGCCAGACCGGACCAGGGGTGCTATGGGGGGTTTATTGGAGGGTGGTGGGCAAGGCCGGAGCCGGAACCGCCGCCGAGGAGGTATGCCCACCCAGCCCTCCCCTGTTTTGCTCTAGTTGAGACGCGGTCGCAGTCCGCGCCTTTAGGGGGGGGGGTACTGTAACACCCTGGCTCTGGGACTCTATATGTTGAGCCAGGGTGTGTTCTTTCTATGTGGTGTATTTCGATGTTGGGAGTTCTAGGTTGTTTATTTCTATGTTGGCCTGAGTGACTCCCAATCAGAGGCAACGAGTGTCAGCTGTGGCTGGTTGTCTCTGATTGGGAGCCATATTTAAACTGTCTGTTTTTCCCTTTGTGTTTGTGGGGTTTTGTTCCGTGTTGGTCTATGTTACCTAGGACGTTACGAGTCGTTTGTTGTTTTTGTTTACTGTCCGTGTTTATCGCTAATGATAAATAAACATGTTCGTTCATCATGCTGCGCCTTGGTCCTCCTCTCTTAACGACGATCATGACAGCAGTCAGCGAGTGGTGATGAAGCTACTGACATTCATAATCAGATGAAACTACTGACATTCATAATCAGATGAAACTACTGACATTCATAATCAGATATCAAGTTGATGAAACTACTGACATTCATAATCAGATATCAAGTTGATGAAACTACCGACATTCATAATCAGATATCAAGTTGATGTAACTACTGACATTCATAATCAGATATCAAGTTGAAGAAAAGCAATGTCCTACAACTCTGACCAAGGTCGTTTCTGACTGAAAAGTTTAGCAACGATGTGAAAAGTCAGGGAATTGATAGGGTCTCCATACCAAGTGACATCCTACTTTTGAATAGGGTGCCCTAGAGCTCTGGTCAAAAGTAGTGTACCACATAGGGAATAGTGTGCAATAGAGCTCTGATCAAAAGTAGTGTACTACATAGGGAATAGTGTGCCATAGAGCTCTGATCAAAAGTAGTGTACCACATAGGGAATAGTGTGCCTTAGAGCTCTGATCAAAAGTAGTGTACCACATAGGGAATAGGGTGCCATTTGGGATGCAACAATGGAGTTCTCATACGTCGAAGTAATTCTTCAATCTACCTGTACTTGTAGCATAGCATCTTGATACGTGGTGACTGCTTTCATTTATATTCAAATTTCTGATTTTTTAAAAACTAGTCCTACGACTAGAGCACTCAGACGGTAGGTTTTGACTGGAGATTTAGCTGCAACATGATAGATGTGGAGCTCTTTTGTCATACGTCCAAGTCATTGTCTTCGTCCAGCCGTGCAATGGCATAGGTGGCTTCAGATTCAGCTCCCAAAGAGACCGGTGGCGCGTGTGTGTGACTCCTGACAAGTACGAGTTTTGCACCCTGTCAGGTAAAAGTGACTATTTTCCGATCTCTCTACGTTTACAAAGAAAAATGGGAAAACGAAGCATTTTCCACCGTTTACTCTTTTGTGAAAGCTCTAATACGCTCTGATTCAAACTAAGGGTATTCTTCAGTATCTTGGCAGCCATCCACAGCAATTAACAAAACACGGCACCAGTGGAAAATAACCATTATCTTCCACCAGCACTCAGATACTTCAGCCCACACCTCGGCACACACACACCCGTCAGCCCTCACATCATCTAGACACAGCTAGAAACCCTTTTATCCCCTAATGCATTTTCCTCTATACTCTCTGTTCCCCCATCCAACCTGGCTTGCTACCCTGAACCCAATGGGTGCTCTTCATTCTAGAAGTCTCAGAGAGAGACAGAACACAGGCCATTATGGAGACAACCCTCCACTCTTCCCCTCTCTCTTTCGAGGAAGAGAGAGAGGAAGAGAGAAAGAGAGAGAGAGAGAGAAAGAGAGAGAGAGACGAGGGGAGGGAGAGGGAGAGAGAGGAGCAAAGACGAGGGAGAGGGAGGGAGATAGAGAGAGAAAGAGAAGAAGGGGGAGGAGAGAGAGAGAGAGAGAAACAAGAGGGAGAGAGAGAGAGCAGAGAGAGAGCGAGAGAGAGGAGAGAGAGAGAGAGAGAGTAGAGAGAGAGAGAGAGAGAGAGAGAGAGAGAGATAGAGAGAAGAGAGAGAGCAGAGAGAGAGAGAGAGAGAGCGAGAGAAGAGAGAGAGAGAGAGAGAGAGAGAGAGAAGAGAGATCTCTCTCTCGTCTCTCTCTCTCTCTCTCTCTCTCTATCCTCTCTTCTCTCTCTTGTCTCCCTCTCTCGTTTTTTTCCCTCTCCCCTTTCCTATCCCTTTTTTCTTTCTTTTCCCCCCTTCTCTCTCTTCCCCCCCTCTCTTGCGTTTTTCCTCTGTGGTTTTCCTCTGTGGTCTCTCTCTGTGGTTTTCTCGTGTGTTCTTCTTGTTTCTTTCTCCTTTCCTGTCTGCAAGATAGAAAGGAAGGGAGCGCGATAAATCTTCTCTTTCTTTTGATTCTCTAATTTCTTAGTCTATATCTATTCTCTTTGCTCTCCCCTTATTCCTACCTCTTTTTAAATCTACTCCTTCTATTTTTTCTCCTATCTCATGTTTTCTATCTTCCCTCTCTTCTTTCCCCCATATCTCTTGGGTGTCTCTTCTGTGGGTTTTCTCTCGTGTGTCTCTCTCTCTTGTTTCCTCTCTTTCCTCTTTGGCTCCCTATCTATCTGAGATCGCGCTATCCTCTAGCATTTTCCTTCAATCTCTACTTTCTCTCTCCTATCTCTATGTCTTCTTTCTTTTCTCTCCACCTTCTTCTGTGTCTCTCTCTGTGTCTCTTCTGGTCTATCTTGTTCTCTCTGGTCTTTCTTCGCTCTCTATCTCTCTCTCTCTATCTCTATCTGTCTCTTTCCTCTTCCTATCTCTTCTCTATAGCCCCTGTTCTCTCTTGGTCTGCCCCTTATTCTCCTCTGGAGTCCCCTCTCTCCTCTATTTCTCTTTCTCTCCTTCTCTCTCTCTTCTTCTTCTTTTCTTCTAGGGCAGCGGGCGCGGTCCCCAAGACGTCTCCATGGAAACGGAGGGGGTGAGTGCGAGTGGGAACTTTAAGATGTTTTTCCCAAGGTGATTTACCGTGGAGTGAGCAGTCGGTCATTGGCCCACAACTGCGCAGTTTTTTACCGTAGGTTACGTCCCAAATGTCCCTATTCCACAGAGCCCTGGTCAAAAGTAGTGCAATATAGGGAATGGGTGCCTTTCTTGGCTCAAGTGTGCACTATATAGGGAATGGGGTGCATTTTCCTGGTCTAAAGTGTGCCATATAGGGATAGGGTCCCTTCTCTGGTCTAAAGTAGTGCACTATATAGTGAATAGGGTTCTTCTTCTGTCAAAAGTAGTGCACTATATAGGGAATAGGGTTGCATTTCTAGCAAAAGTGTGCATAATAGGGTAGGGTGCCTTCTTGGTCTAAAGTAGTGCGTATTAGGAATAGGGGGCATTTTTGGTTAAAAGTATTGCCTATATAGGGAATAGGGGGCCATTCTGGTCTAAAGTAGGCACCATATGGGAATAGGGTTGCCATTCTTGGTCTAAGTAAAGTGCACATATAGGGAATAGGGTTATTCTCTGGTAAAAGGGTTTAGTGCACTATATAGGGAATAGGGTGCCATTCTCTGGTCAAAAGTAGTGCACTATATAGGAATAGGGTGCCATTCTCTGGTCTAAAGTAGTGCACTATATAGGGAATAGGGTGCCATTTCTGGTCAAAAAGTAGTGCACTATTAGGGAAAGGGTGCATTCTCTGGTCAAAAAAGTAGTGCGCTATATAGGGAATAGGGTGCCATTCTCTGGTCAAAAAGTAGTGCACTATATAGGGAATAGGGTCCCATTTCTGGTCTAAAGTAGTGTGCTATATAGGGAATAGGGTGGCCTTTTCTCTGGTTAAAGTAGTGCACTATATAGGGGAATGGGTGCCATTTCTGGTCTAAAGTAGTGCATATATAGGGAATAGGGTTTGCCATTCTCTGGTCTAAAGTAGTGCATATATAGGGAATAGGGTTCCATTCTCTGGTCAAAGGTAGTGCACTATATAGGAATAGGGTGCCATTCTCTGGTCAAAAGTAGTGCAACTATATAGGGAATAGGGTTGCCATTCTCTGGTTAAAGTAGTGCACATATGGGGAATAGGGTGCCTTTTTGGGTTTTAAAGTGGCACTATATAGGGAAGAGGGTGCCATTCTCTGGTCAAAGTAGTGCGCTATATAGGGAATAGGGTGCCATTCTTGGTCTAAAGTAGTGCACTATTAGGGAATAGGGTGCCATTTATGGTCTTAAAGTAGTTGTGCTATATGGGAATAGGGTGCCATTCTATGGTCTAAAGTAGTGCACTATATAGGGAATAGGGTGCCCATTCTCTGGTTCTAAAGTAGTGCACTATTATAGGGAATAG